TATCAAGTTGCTTGTATATATAATATCATGATGGGGGCAGTACAAGTAACACATTATCCCTCAGGTGAATCTCAGCAGGCGAGTCCACGCACCATGGTGCTTCATTATGCATGTAAGTAATTTTATTTCATCTCCTAGGTGAAAATCTACAAGCCCTTGGTGTGAAATCCACACTGATTACTAATGGCAGTAATCCTATCAACCTTTTCAATATGGCTCACGGTTTAGTTGAGGCCATCCAGAGCACCCCTAGCAACATTGAGGAGGTGACAGAAGATTGATAAGAAACTAAAGAAAGACTTTATTATTATAACTTTTTATTGTTATTATTATTATTAGTTTGCTCTCCTTATATTGAACTATTATTATTGCAATTTTGTAGGCAATTGTTTTAGCCCATTTTGTAGTGAAAAAGAGATTTGTTATTATAAGCTATAATGCCCACGTAGCTAGAGACACGTTTTCATATTCATTCATTGTGATGTGACTACACCTGCTAATAATTCCATGTGATGATGTGACTATGACTGCGCATGCGCAATGCTCAAACACGTGAAACCTCGTGGGTTAAAGCAAAACTAAGTACAATGGATGCTGCTGCTGACTCTTGCTCGAAAAGAAGGAAAATCTTTAACTATGATTCTGATGTTGATCCTGAGGACTCAGAGCCTTTTATCAATTCATCTGTGGTGGATCATCATCAGGAATATGCAAACCCATTTGATTCCCTGCCAAATGAGGTAATACAAGAGATATGCATGATGCTGCCACTCAGAGATAAGATGTCCCTTTGATTAGTCAATCGAAGACTTTACAGCATATGTTCAGATCCTTATTTGTGGAGAAACGTTTTTATTGATTATGCCTATCATCAGACAGTTGCTCCATTCATCAAATCAGCTTTACGAACATGTCACCCACATGTACAGTCGCTCAGTTTAAAGGGAGAACTACCGTTCAGTAAATATCAACGAATGATTGTTCAATGTAAGAATATTCATACTTTGAATCTTTATGGGTTTGATATTTCTCTTAATGCTCTGAAGGAGATTTTTTCAGATTTACCTCGTCTACAGTGCTTAAGCGTGACTTATATTAACACTAGGCTATCTAATGTTGTGGAATATTTTCCAATTTTTTCAAAGCTAAAAAAACTTGTCATGGTTTGCAGTTTTTCTTACAACCCCAAGAAACTGTTTGAGAGATGGCTGTTGAACAATTGTTTGCCACAAATATTTATCATGATTTCAACCGATGACAAAATATATTGGTGCTGGAATACACACCCTCTTCCTATTCCTAATATCACTCATTCAGCTTATTTTGCAGTTTATACAAAGCTTCGCCGACCTCTGAACTTTGATTTTTATGATGTACCCGAGCACTCGTTAGAAATTGGCCCCAATAATTCCGAATCTGTTGCTGTGACTGCTAATGGGAAGCTAATGATTACAATGAGAAATATGATCACACCAATGAATGGTGATATCAGTGAACGATATGCTGTTTTTAAAGATGAAGCTGTCACCCCTGGTCTGCCAGTTTATACCAGTCAATATGGAGTTAACATTACCATACTTAGATTTTCTTCTGTAACCGTATCACTTGAGTCCTTTCGTATGATTGTCAAGGAGACCCCTAATGTATTGGAGGTCAGTTTGAAGGAAAGTATCGTATCGGATTGTCTTGACGCTTACATGGTTCCATTATCTGTACACTGCCTCAAACTAAGAGGATTAGATGTGTCTTGTTTTTCTACTGATTTCAGAGGTAGTATCAAGTTTGATGTGGAGCACTTTTGGAATCTTTTGTCAAGAATGAAATATTTGGAATATCTGTCTGTCAACTGTTGCTCTCTCTCACCACTCATCTCCAACTCACAGCGTGGTAGACGTCCATCAGGAGTTCTAACTGATAGAGAATTGGCAGTAATGGAAAGTGTTATCAATCATATTAAGAGAATGACCAGACTCAAAGGTTTTACAGTCACCCAATCATCTGACACTACTATAACTGAAAAGTTCGATTACTTTATTAATCATCATTTACTTTCGATTATTTCAAATCTGGAGTCTCTTTTATATCTGGAAATTGATATTTCATATAGACGGAATTCTAAATTAAAGTCATACATTATTGAAGGGCTTGAAAGCATACTTCAGAAATGCCACAGACTTGCAGTTTTTTATATTTATTGTTCACCACTTGATCTTAAAAAAACTATCAAACTACCAGTAGATCCAGCACTGTATGGTAATCTCACTCATCTCTGCCTTGGTTGTTCATTCACACCAATGACTTCAGCAATTGGTAATGCTTTAGCTATCAGTAGCAAGAAATATCAACTAAAGCATTTATTCTTGGCTTGCGACACTACAGAAGATGTTTTGAAAGAAATGAAAGAGGGTAATTTTATTCAATTTTACGAATTTACAGAGAGGTCTATAAATAGACATGATAAGAATAGAAGTTCAGTGCAGCAGCCTTATTTTAAAATTGCAGAGGTAGACTTAAATATAGCAGACTTGGTATATTTACATCATTAAGAATTGTACCGTTAGCTACTAATTAATTTTGTATTTGTTTTTTGTGATTTATAGTATTGTTTTTGTTTTATTTTATTATTATTATTATTATTACTATTTTTCTTTAATTTCTTTATTAAAATTAATTGTTGTCTTGAGAATGTCAAGGTTATTGTTTATCACAAATATTACCGGTATTGTCATTGCAACTAATGACAAAAATATTGGTTCAGGAATAGGCAACCTCTTCCTTTTATCACTCATTCAGCTTAATTTTTGTGTTTGTTTTTTGAAACTTATTTATTTATAGTTGTTTTGTATAGTCTAATAGTTAAATAGTTAACAAACTGACTATAATGTTAATAGTTAGTTAATACTTAATAGTTAATAGTTAACTAGTCTAATAAGACTCAATAGAGTATTAAGAGTAAATTTAATGTTAAAAATGTCAGTTGAGGAGATCTTCTGTTGACAATGTATCCGAGTTAATACGAATCAGGTCATTCGGGTGGTTGGAATGAAAATGCGTTTAAAGTCAGTTTTAATTATTTTTTTGATCATTTAAGCAATATTCTCTCTACAGTACCTCCTCCCAGTGTATCAATACTAGTTGCTGATCCTCCAACTGGTCCAATATATGAGAGTACGAGTTACTTACTAACCTGTACAGCTACAGTAAACACTACAATAGTGGATACACCAGTAACTGCTAGTGTAGTATGGACTGATCCTAGTGGTAATGTAATACCAACTAATGAAGCAAGACGTCAAGTGATACCTCCAACTGGTAACAGTCTTGTAAGCATGCTATTGTTTCAACCTATTGATACTGGCCTTAATAATGATGGAGGAACATATACCTGTCAAATGATTGTCAATTCTGGTAACTCATTAATAGTATCAAATCAAGCCAGTACTACTCATGATGTTATTGTTCAAAGTAGGTTATAGATCTAGCATTATATAAAAATTATTATTATTCCTCCTTGGTCCCCCACTCTCCTCTCGTCTTTACTCTTATCCTTCCATCAGGTCTTCCTCCAGTGACAGTAAATTTCTCATCAGTTGGTTCAGTTGAAGTTGGTCAGAGTCTAACTATAACATGTACCATAACAACAGTTGAGAGATTAGTAGTAACACCAATGATTACTTTCATCAAAATGAATGAGACAGATTTTGAGTTCCTCTCTAACTTAAGCTATACAACAGATGATACTGGTTCAATTACTAACTATACTCTAATACTGGATCCAGTGAGGTTTGAAGATGCTGGAATGTATATATACATGTATGGCTGAGTTTAATGTAACTGGTTTTAATAATACCAATGATCCTAGCACTGCTACTTATGATTATCAAGAGGATAGTGACAATTTTATTTTGACCTTTGACAGTAAGTCAACTATTATGCTATGCTCTACTTAAGTGTGTAAACTGTATGCATTTATTCATAAGCTTATTATAGAAAACTAATTGATATTTTGATTTTAAATTTACACTAAATTTTATAGTTCTGCCAGTGATTGTTGCTATATCAAAGGAATGTGATGATACATTATATCCCTATCATGTACTCTTGTGTACATGTAATAGTAATTGTGGTGTAACATATTGTACCATTGTTCACTTTATCACTCTTTCCCTGTCACTTTGCTTTGTTTATCATTCCCCTTTGAGTTATACAAGAGTGCTAACTATCTAATTATGGGCTAATCAAAAATGCTTATTTACAGCAATAAGATTTGTTGATATAGCCATTGGGCTAGCCACTACCAGAGGAATAGACACCAAATTTGATGCCTATATTATGCAACACCTTATTAGGACAACTACTATTACAGTACCAGTTGGTCTTTCATCATTAATTATAAGCAAGCTAGCTGAGCACTGGGACACACATACATGTATATGTACATGTAAAACCACCACTTACACTTCATTAATTGGCTAGTACATCATTCCATCATATAGCAACAGCACATGTCTGATGCTGATTAGCACTGTAATAATTATGCATACATACACTGGCACTAAAAGAAGTACACATACCACTGCACTGATTGACCCACACAGATTCACACAACTATAAATACTGTGTACACACATGTAGTTCTACTAATGGTTTATCACAACTAAATTATGTAATTTGATCACTTAACTAGGGCTTGCATTGGAGCATTTTTTTGCCAATTTGCCGATTTTTGACTTTCCTCTTAGACAAGGTCTAGAGCCATGCTAGTGGTACCAATGGAGTCCTCTGGTCAAGATAAGGTCCTCTATAAAGTCTGGTAAGCATAGGAGCTCATTTTCCTGGTATAACAAGACTACAAAAGTCGTGGCAGTCATTTTGTTTGGGGGGGTGAATCCTACTTAGTAACGCTACCGCGTTACTAATATTACAGGGATTTTTAACCAATTTTTGAGAAACTTTAAAAATTGGTAAAAAAATTAGTTTTGACCGGAATCAACTCAAACTTTCTACACAGCATAAGTACATGTATATGCATCAGAAAATGTAATAAAAATTAAGAATTTTCACCTTTTCATTTTTGATGAAATTTGGCCCGAGACCATGTACTATAGTACAGGGATTTTGAGCCAATTTTTGAGAAACTTAAAAAATTCGTAAAAAAATTAATTTTGACTAGAATCAGCTCAAACTTTCTACACTGCATAAGTACATGTATATGCATCAGAAAATGTAATAAAAATGAAGAATTTTCACCTTTTCATTTTTGGGGAAATTTGGCCCGAGACCATGTACTATAGTACAGGGATTTTGAGCCAATTTTCGAGAAACTTTAGAAATTTGTAAAAAAAATTAATTTTGACCGGAATCAGCTCAAACTTTTTACGCTGCATAAATACATGTATATGCATCAGAAAATGTAATAAAAGTGGAGAATTTTCACCTTTTCATTTTTGGGGAAATTTGGCCGGGATTTTGAGCCAATTTTTGAGAAACTTTAAAAATTCATGAAAAATTTAATTTTGACCGGAATCAGCTCAAACTTTTTACATCAACAGTGCCATGCATGCATACATGTACATGTATGCACAGTGAGTGAGTTTGTGTAGCTTAAATTCAACAACACCAATTGATATTCCCTTCTAAAGTAACTTATATGAGGTGAGAGGTGAAGGAAAAATGGATGAATGGGAGAGAATACAATAATTATATAGCAAGGCTGCAAAAGTCATGACAGCCATTTTGAAAGCTAGGGGGTGAATCCTATTTAATAATGCAACCATGTTACAAATTATGTTTTCAGCAAAATGTTAATATTAAAGGGTTGAAATGAAGAAGCTGTCTCTAAGGTTTCATGACACTTCTCACAAGTGTTTAAAATGTCAATATCCCATAATTTAATGTTCGGTGTTGATTTTATCTTTGTACTCCATGATGTCCATTATGTTTATATTTGTACATATAAAGCAGAGATTGTTGGTCTTTTAACTTTCTGTTAGCAAAGCAAACATGTCACCCACACAGGTCATTTCAATGAATATGCATACACTGTACATGTAGAGTTGGACTGTGTCATTGAAAATCCTTTCTTAGGTATTATAACTTTTTTGTGAAATACAAAAGTGCCAGTGCTTATATAATAATTGTAGCTGTTAACAATAATAAACTGTGTAGATGAACTGACATGTACATGATGCATAATGTTCATAATGTACATGTAATAGTAATTGTGGTGTGACATAATGTACCATTGTTCACTTTATCACTCTTTCCCTGTCACTTTGCTTTGTTTATCATTCCCTTTTGAGTTATATAAGAGTGCTAACTATCTAATTATGGGCTAATCAAAAATGCTTATTTACAGCAATAGGATTTATTGATCGGGCCTAAATGAAGATTGTCAACAAAGGAATAGTTTAGCTACTGACTTTATAGCCATCTTGGCAGCCACTACTAGAGAAATAAACACCAAATTTGGTGCCTATGCTATGCAACACTTGTTAGCACAACAGTTATTACAATACCACAAAAGAACAGTTGATTTTTCATCATTAATTTTAATAAATCAACTTAGCTCAGCACAGGCATACTCATGCATGTACATGCACATGTACACACCAGCACTAATACACATATACACTTCATTTATTGGCTAGTATAGATCTTCACATTATTCCAATAGCAACAGCAAAAGTCTGATGCTGATTAGCACTGTAATATGTATTATGCATACATACACTGGAAATAAGTACACACACACCACTGCACTGATTGACCCACACAGATTCACACAACTATAAATGCTGTGTCAGTGTGTATAGATGTAGTTCTACTAATGGTTTATCACAACTAAATCATGTAATTTGGTCACTTAACTAGGGCTTGGCAATTATGCTAGCATAATTTGGAGTAAAATAGGGCAAGTTACCGTATGGAAGGAAATTTTGGAGGTAGTTAAATTTGGCGAATTTGGCGTTTTGATAGCCATTCGCCAAAATAAAAATTCGCCATTTTGAGCCATTATACGCATGCTCAATGGCACGTGGCCACAAATTCGCCAAATTAAAATTCGCTAATAACCAAAATTTAGCAGTTCGCCAAAATTTAGTCCCTTCAAAATTTCCTTCTGTACGGTATTATGCTGGCATAATTGGAGTATAATGGGTCAGAAATTTTTGGCCCTATACCCATGACCACATGAAATTCTAATTCAATATGGCAGGTGGTACAAGTACTAGTACTGTACAGTGACTTAGAATCTTCTATTTTCCAGTTATTCAAAGTCTTTGGAGACATTTTTAGATTGTGGAATTATTACAATATTATTTTCATTACAATTAAAGCAGATACCGGTACATACGTGTAGCTGATATTTGAGTAAAGCTTAAAATATGAGTATAATAATTAGATTCATAATAGAATGAAATTTGGAGTAGTGCCTAAAAGCATAAAAGGCAGAAAAATTTGCCTAGCCCTCAACTTGCACGAGTACATAATATTAGTAACCACCCACACACATACAGACTATTTTGCTTGGTGGGCAGTTTACATCAGGTTACAATGTCTTTGTTGTTTCTCTTATCATTGGTACTTCATGTATCATGTCAACCATTTTTTGGTTCACTACCTCCTCGTCCAACTACTGGTCAGTACATAATTTTTGTAATAGACCTATCTATTGTATTAATAGGTGTAAGATTGTTTCTTGGTGAGGAGAATGTGACTATTGCTAATTTCTCAATGATAGCTGCTGGTTTGTTTCATGATAATGATTTAGATCAAGTTGATAATGACATTGGTACTGGTAGTCCTGATGGTCAGAATGATGGTTTGTGGTGTCAGAGTTCTCTTAATCAGAATATGATAGGAACATGGTATTATCCTGATGGAACAACTGTACCATTGGGTTCTGGTAGTCCTCTGTTTGCTAACAACACTGCTACTGGTCAAATTGGTTTATTAAGAAATGGAGGATTAGGAAATATTCAAGGACTATACAGTTGTGTTATACCAAATGGAGAGGGAATTGATCAGACACTGTATGTTGCTACTTATGGTAATGGAGATTTCCTTAACTATGATGGTAAACAAGCATTGTTTAATTACTGAAATTATATGTCCTGTGCATGTATTTAACTATACAGAACTTCCAGTTATTGATGGTAGTGGTTCCTCCTTCCAGCTCCTCTCATCAGTTGATGCTGATCCTCCAGTGTTTAGTTTATCATTTAATGTCACTAATAGATCACCAACAATAGTCATTTGCTCTGTTGATAATGGAAACCAGTTTAATGTATCTGATAATGATCTGATACGTACTGTAACACCAGTTAATAATGATGTACAAGTACAAGTATCAGTAATATTGAGAATGAGAGTGTCTGGCCTGTATAAATGTTCTGTTACTACTGACAGAATTACAACTACACCTTTAGTATCTACTAATATGGTAATAAGGAATGTTACTGGTAAGTATACTATAGTAAATAATCATATTAAATTATGTCTTTTCTTCTAAAGTAACTGGATCTCCGTCAAACTTGACCTACAGCAGAATAAGTCTTCTCTCAGTTACACTAGGCTGGTCTCCCTCAGCAGTGATTAGTGCTACTCCTCAGTATCATGTCTTTGTTAATAACAGTAACGGTATTATTATGAATAACAACACTACTAATACTGAGCTCTCTCTCTCATTAAGTCCTGATGATGAATATAATATTAGACTAGTAGCTACTGGTGAAGACTTACCTAGTGAAATAATCACTGTTACTATTCCTCAAAGTATGATAACATTTTGTTGTTTCATTAAATAATCCTTTATAATACAGTTGTCAGTATTTAAGTACTAACAACCTCTTGACATTAAGTAAATGTATAAAACAGAATATCAATAATTTTCTTCATATAGCTGATCCTATTGTGTCTATATTCTCAAGTCAACCTGTATTTGCTGGTCAATCATATTCATTAAACTGTACTGTCACAATAGTAGCTGGAGACCTCAATATAACATGGTTTGATGGCAGTGGAATTCAATTAACTGAAGGAAATGGAATAAGTTTTAATTTAGTTACTGTTTCTGACACTGTACAAAGATATGATTTGATATTTCATTTACTTAACTATGCAGACATTGGAGAATATTTTTGTCAAGCTAGTCTTACTGTTGATGGAGATGGTGTTCTGTTTAATGGAACTGGATCTGCTAATACAACTGTTAGTATAAGAAGTAAGTTAAAATTTGCAAATTTCACCATTTATAACTTGCTAATACACAGTACCATTACCACAAGTATCTATATCTCCTGATGGTAATTTTCCTCTTATTCGTGGAACTGTTAGAACTGTTAGCTGTTCTGTTGTTTTCACTCCTCCTTTACCTACTAATCCTAATGTCTCATTTACTGTCTTCAAAGATAATGATCAACTATCAGTTGAGAACAGTTCCAGAGTAATAGCAGTTCAGACTGGAACTACTGGTGCTCTTACCTTTCAACCACTCAATTTCTCTGATGCTGGTAATTATACATGTACTGCTACAGCAAGAGATAGTGCTAATAATCCATTAATAATACCAAGCAGTGCTTCTGATCAGCATATTGCTACCATACAAGGTAATGTATTATATGCATCATAAACAAATTTAAATTTAATATCTCTTTATAGCCATTCCTGTTCCTAATATCACATTCACTACTACTACTGGTAGATCACTGGGAGAGAGTTTAACTCTTAATTGTACAGTTGATGTGCTAGATGACCTATACAATATTAATGTTACTAGCAGTATAGTAAGAAATGGAGAACTCATTACTAGTACTACTAGACCTGGTGATACTACAGCAATGATTATGATTCATTCAATAAGATCATCTGATGCTGGAGACTATCAATGTATTGTTAATATCACTCAATCTGATATAGACTATGAATTTAATGGAATGGAAACTGCCCAAGTGATACTTACATGTAAGTCGAAATAGTTGAATTAATGTTTTATTTATTGTTTGTTTTGGTAGTACCAACTCCTTCAGCTATTGTTGAGTATAATGCTACTGGACATTTAGTAGATGGAGAACTAGCAGAAGGACAGTTTCTTGATATTATGTGTATAGCTGACATCAGTCAATATATTGATACTAGTGTTAGTGTTACTATGAGTTGGAGGAGAAATAACACTGTACTGACCAATGGAAGTGATTTTACTATCAGTCCTCCAGTTATGACTAATAATCAGTACACTGGTGTGTTACGTATTAATAGTTTGAGAGATGAAGTTGATAATGGTGCTAGTTATAATTGTTCAGTTAGTGTGACTCCTAACACTCTTTCTATAATAGCAGGGAATGATAATAGCAGTGCAGTTACATTAACTGTAGCAAGCAAGTGAACTTTATTAATGCTTTTTAGTCATATTTTAAATTGATAGGGTTTGATATCAATCATGTTGATATAAGTATCAATATTCCTTCTGTTCCTGTTTCTGGTGACGTATTCAATTTATCTTGTGTTATAGTTGTACCTCCTAATTTTGTCGAGAATTTTACTAGTGTCAGATGGACTTATGATTTAGAAGCATCTCAAGATGTGACTAGTGAAAACAATGATGCTACACTAGTACCTGTTGTTAGAAATGGAAATATATTCACCAGTGTACTTACACTTGATCCAGTGAAGACAACTGATGCTAGACAATATTACTGTCAAGCAACAATTCTAGTGTTTGGTATTGTAGATCGTACTAACAGAGATTTAACTGTTCAAAGTTAGTATTTGGTCCTTTACATGTGTGTGGTACATTCTTTTTTATATAGTATCTCCTCCCAATGTATCAATAGTTGCTGATCCTCCAACTGGTCCAATATATGAGAGTACAGGTTATATTCTAACCTGTACAGCTACAGTAAACACTACAATAGTGGATACACTGGTAACTGGTAGTGTAGTATGGACTGATCCTAGTGGTAATGTAATACCAACTAATGAAGCAAGACGTCAAGTGATACCTCCAACTGGTAACAGTCTTGTAAGCATGCTATTGTTTCTACCTATTGATACTGGTCTTAATAATGATGGAGGAACATATACCTGTCAAATGATCATCAATTCTGGTTATGCATACTCAATGATAGTATCAAGTCAACCTACTGATACTACCCTTGCTGTTACTGTTGAAAGTAAGTTATTAATGTAGATGTACTTATTATATTGCCACTCTGTCTCTTTTTGTCCTTTTATTATCTCTTCCTTCCATCAGGTCTTCCTCCAATGACAGTAAATTTCTCATCAGTTGGTTCAGTTGGAGTTGGTCAGAGTCTAACTATAACATGTACCATAACAACAGTTGAGAGATTAGTAGTAACACCAATGGTTACTTTCACCAAAATAAATGATACAGATATGGAAATGCTCTCTAACTTACATAGACCATACAGTATCACAACAGATGATACTGGTTCAGTTACTAACTATACTCTAATACTGGATCCAGTGAGGTTTGAAGATGCTGGAATGTATACATGTATGGCTGAGTTTAATGTAACTGGTTTTAATAATACCAATGATCCTAGCACTGCTACTTATGATTATCAAGAAGCTAGTGATGCCTTTAATTTAACTGTTACCTGTAAGTTACTGTAATAATGAACAATAAAAGTTATCAAATTCTTTATTTTTCATTTCATTACAGTTCCTCCAGTACTTGTTACTATATCAAAGGAACATGATGATACATTATATGCAGGGACACCATTCTTCATTAAATGTGACATAATGTTGAATCCATTAGTTACTATACCAGTGACTGTCACTAATCAATGGACACGTGATGTTACTAATGTTCCTATGGGTTCATCTGATGCTACTATTACTGAGAGTCTCAATATGATCAATACATTACATTATAATGCAACATTAATGTTCTATCCATTGGATAATGCTGATGATAGTGGAGTGTATGCTTGTAACATTGAAGTGACTGCTCCTAATAGTTATACATACCTCAGGAATACATCAGCTAGCACTAATACTTCTATTACAGTATTGGGTAAGTATAATCTATGCTGTATATACTAATGTATTATAATGCTCTTCTGCAATTGTACCATTGTACCTGTACCTGTATTATATATTATATTCTACCTGCTGTTATATTGGGCTATGACTTTGAATGATTGTGAATTTGAGGTCTTGCACTATCCAATCTGAAATCATAGGTATTAGAGTGGGTCTATGCTAAAACCTGTATAAAAATGTCACCTTATTGTTAGTTACTTTTTTACTTTTCTCAGCTACTCCAGTGCCAGTGGTAGAGATAGTGTATATGGGTATGGCTGAACCTGGTGAAGAATACATGTTAAATTGTACAGTGACAATTGTTGATAGACTCATAGTCTCACCAGTGATAACATGGACTAAGAGATCAGCTAACAATGTTATTAGTGTGCCTCCAGATTTCATGATTGTATCTAATGTAATGAGTTCTCTTTATTTGAACTTCTCTTCTCTCAATACTTCTGATGCTGGTCTGTATACTTGTGAAGCCTCCATTAATGTTAGTCAAATATCCATTGTAGCAAGGAGTAATGGCACATCAAACTTGCCCTTAGAAAGTAAGCTCATTATGATAATAGTGACTAGTATTTTATCAAAAATTTTTTGTTTGTACTTTTTGTTATTGTATTATGTACCAGTTCCTTTTTTCATTTATTTAATTATATTGTGTACGTATTCCTTTCAATAATTGTTTTTAATTTATTTCTCAGTTCCTATTCCATCTGTTGATGTGAGTCGATCAAAAAAGAATTATTTCTTTGCTGGTAGTAACCTGATACTAACATGTGATATCAGTGTTGATCCTAATGTTGATACACCATTCACTGTTAATGTAACCTGGAACATGACTGATCAACCAATCATGAGTAGTGGGGATTTTGCTACTAATCCTAATTCAATGAGGCTTGCTGATACAAATCGTGTTAATATCAGCTCTGTCATGATGAGATCAGGTTTCAATGAGTATAGATCAACACTTAATTTCACTACATTGAGCAGTATTGAGGATTCAGGAACATATACATGCATTGTTACTATAGTACCAGATCCAGCTTATGAATATGTTATGACTTCTGACACTAATTATATGAATGTTACCTTAACAGTTACTAGTAAGTACATGCATGCATAATGTATGTTAGTATTGCAAGTTATCATTATTCTGATGTATCATTTATACAAATCAATGCATTTAAGTTTGGGGTGAATTCATGCACAGCCCCCAGTACAGTAAGTGTCAAAGCCCAAAAATTTAATGTGCAAATAATCAACATTTTGTAAAGTTTTCTTTACAGCTTTAACTGGCTGTATGGCAGTTGCACCAGATCAGTATAATTATATCTATTTTAATTTGTGATAAAGTCAATTCAATTTTCCTATTTGTTAGATCCCTTGATTGGGGGATTTTCTACTTCTCCCAATTCCTTTTTGGGTCTAGAAGCATCATGTCCTGATTCAGACCCATATGATAACTTCATTCTCACCTGTACAGCCACTAAACCAACCATAGTAATACCAAACCTGGTAATAGCATGGACGCATAATGGTACAATAGAAACTGGTACTGTGACTACTACTGCAGAGAATATGACTACCACTGTTACTAATACATTGAGTTTTAGTGCCAGTAGGCCTTCTGATTCTGGTACTTATAGATGTACTGCTAGTATTACTATACCTGATTCAACTGATATTGCTACTAGTGAGGAAAGTACTGTGGCTATAAGATGTAAGTAGCTATAATAATTATACAAGTTCTATAAATACAGTGTACAGTAATTGTATTGATATGTGGTGTACACATGCCATATGTTTTTCCTTACAACTCTACCATCTTCCTTTTTTCTTCTTCCTTTTTGACCTATTTGATGTCTAGCTCAAAGCCTACCTGTTGCTGCTACTAATGTCATGGCTACTCCAGGAAATACTGCTCTTAATGCTACTACTGCTGCTATATCATTCATAATACCTAACATTGCCTATACACCTGAAGCCTACAGTGTGAAGTATACTGGAATGACCTTTCAAACAACAGAACAAACTTCTATGATAAGAATGAGCTCTGATGACATCACTGCAACTAACCAAGAATTTACAATCATGTTGACTGGCCTTGAGGAAGATAACACTTATACATATACAGTTGATTCTACCAATTGTCTTGGTACCACTAGTACTGTACAGATGAGCTTCAGCACACTTCCAACATGTAAGTAAAATAAATATCCATGCAGCAACTTCATTTTTATCAATCCCCCTTTTTTTTCTTATTTTTAACATTGTATATTTTTTCTAATATTCATTACAGTACCAATGGCTTCTCCGATGAATTGTTCTAATATAACATTCTTCCTAAGTAATGTCACTCTTACCTGGACTGCACCACCACTAATAGATCAAAATGGAGGACCAGTTGGTTATAATTTAACATGCATGAATACTAATGGTGTATCAGTCAATGGATTGATTCCAACACGATCTTCAACGGACACAATGTTCACTATTACTGATGTTATGCCTTTTACTGGTTACAC